GTACAATGGGCACACTTAGGGTCCCTTCCCTGAAGCAATGTCATCTGGGGGGATCCAGAATCTAAATAGCTCAAGTTGGGCAGCCATATAAATTTCCATAAATAAAATAAATAAAGTCAAGATAACACTAAAAGAGGTATTTGTAATCTTAGAGATCAGCTTGCCAGCAATTCCTACTATCTCACCCTTTCACTTGCTCTTGAGTTACTGGCAATGCTAAACCAAGCACAATTCTCTAATATACCACAGACAGACCTAGCGAGTGTGTTCCCATGCCCACACTGGGGGAATTTTTTAGAATTGTAGTCTAAAATATCTGAAGTGCATCAGGTGGGGCAAAGCTACAGCTGGCTATACATTAGATTGAGACATCCTTTTCAGCTTAATTGGAAATATAAACCTCAAAGTCAAGCAAATGATATATAGACATCTAGACATCTCATTGCAAAGACAAAAACAGTTACTTCTGCCCACTTTTGCATACAGGAAGAACTTCCTCTTTCTCCGGGGAAATTACTTCTGGCTCGATGCTTTCCAATCTCTTTAATGCCCAATCTCTCTAGAGTATTTATTATATATTTAGCTTCCTCTGAAGCATTCTCTCTTTCTCAGGCCCTTTCAGAGAATGCAAGCTGAAGCTTTTGAACGCAGCTCAGTACTTGCTATGTCAACACATAACAAAAGAGAATATTTCAATGCTGTGTAGGATCTTTATTTCATTAAGCCTGCTCATCTCTGAGACAGTAAAGTCCCTGGAGAGGCTTACGAATGATAATCAGATATTTACTTAAATGGAGATTCTCATTAGAAATCACTAAAGACAAGACTACACTGTCTGCTACTTTTTTCTTCTCAGGTTCCCCAGGGCAGAGCATTCTTTCCTTCTCCATGAGCAGGTGACTTAAGGCTATGGGAAGGCTATGTTCCTTGGCTCCAAGAAAGAAAGACGGATATGACACCATGTGTGACAGAGGAGAAGATAGAAAGAGCTTTAATGCATCAAAAACAAAAAGTTAGAACTTAGACATGCATGGCCCCATCCAGTGGGGAGAGAAGAAATTGCTGCTCCAATGTTTACTTTCTTCCCTAATATCCCCCCTTTCCTTTTCCTTCATAGCATGGCTCTTACATTGGGAAACTACATGTAGGGTCCCTATAATGCTTATAAAAATCGAGGCATTTTATGAATATTAAATCCTAAATAAAATTAGGTAATGAGCCCATGGCAAAAACTAACATGGAGAAAGATAAGTATTTAGGGAAAGTTGCTAGTAGAACAATTTTGTAGAGCTGAGAAACAAAACAAGAGGTGCTCTGGATCACATTCTGTGCCCATACTTCCTATCCATACTTCCATTTCTGATCAAGCAGATAAGATGTTTTATGCTTCAAGAAATGCAGAACTTGTTCTCAAAGTATGGGATTAACGACGTGGGTTTGCAGATCCTAAACAATGATGGCTAGATCGCATCATTTCAGCTTTCTGAAAGCTCTGCCAATTTTCGTTAATCCAGAATGTGAAAAAATTGAGATAATCATAGTTACCTTGCAAGTGAAAGATCAAACAGGCCCAAAAACTGTCGGAGTGAAGTTTGATACATGACATTTACCATACTCATCTCAGTTATCAGAAAATAGAGAATGCTGCCTCTGGTAGCAACTGAACAAAACAAGATTGGATTTGATCAACAGAGATATAAAACCAGAGCATTCTATTAAATCCGTAACTGTAAAATCCCATACTGACTATTAATAGTATCTGATGATAAATAGCTAAAAAGGTTTTGTGCACTGGAACCACTTTCTATTTAAATAAGAAAAACACATATCTCCCCCCCCCCCTTTTGCTTTTGCTACAACACTGCACTGCATTCATCTGCATATTCAAAAACTCTAATGTCAGCTCCAAACTCCATCTGTTTCATTGTTATTGCTTACTACTCAGTAACTTCCTCACTTACAGAAGGATTTTTTTTTTTGTAAAATTTTAGATGTTAGAGATTTATTCCCCTGTATTTAGTCGTTAGTGACAACAGCTGAATACTGCAGTTCTAGGAGCCCCAATTCTCCTCCCCACTTAATTCCTGTGGATAAGGAAAGGTGCGAAGAGATTGTCCTGAATCCATTAAAGCTCTCCTGCTCTCAAATCTTCCTCAAAAAGTGGCTAATTCTGGTTCTCAACATGCTACAGTCCAAGCAATAATTACAGTTTTGATCATTAGTCTAGGAGGGGAAGAACCTTCTCACCTGGTCTGTATTCCTCCCGAGCTGAGTTAATCTGTACTTCAGTCTCAACTGATATTTGCAGTTTCTGGGTCACCTCTTCTGCTGTTTTTTTTGTGTTACTAAGTACAGTGATGAGACTCTCATCTTCCACCAGAGAGCCTTGTGTGCTTGTCAGTCGATACAGTAAGTTATCTTCCAGTTCTTTCATCTTCCTTTTGTTAGCTGTCACATCTTCTATAAGATCAGTTCGCTCTTTCTCCAACTCCTGTTAAAGCATTTCATAAAGACGTGCATCTGTGCAATGTATTGTTGGAAGCAGGCCCATTAATATATGCATCTACAGTACAGTATCAATGCATTACTGAACTGGTAGTCAAAGTATTGCTATCAGGAGACATTCATTCATTATCATATGTCAATTTCCTATGATGTTTTCTATCCTTGATTGCGCACTCTGATCTAGAGGATTACTCAAAGCAGGAGAGGGGGGAAATCATATTCTGAACCACCGCCAACTACATTAAGATTATCCAAGTGAGCATTGTCAGATTCTTCATATTCAGACTGTACTACCCAACACCCAGGCAGTCATCACCACAACTTTGATGAAAGAGCCAGGAGCTAAGAAAAGGGTGGGTAGAAAGAAGTTTGGAATTAGGTGATGGAAGTATATACAGCATGGGGCCTATACTGTAAGTATCCCATGAAACCCACAAACACATGAATTTTTCATTCAGCATATAAATCACAGGATATAACACGGATTACTACATTAAGCGGATTTTAAAATGATTTGACTTATTCATGTTTAATGTTTCATACATAGTGTCTCCCCAGATGCCATACACAACAGTGGTGCTATCATTAAGAAGAATGAGGAGAGAGCTTCAGGCAGAGATTGTGGGGGTCTTGAAAAGATAGCAAATAGTTATTTAATGATTGCCAAGATTAGGGCACACTGCAAGAAATGTTCAGCAACTTATGTTATGCTGTATTTAGGACTATAAATACTGTAGTATATCCTAGTGTTTTACAGATGGGAATAATTAATTTAACCCTGTTTTTGCTACCAAAAGTAACATTAGTATGTATGTAATTCTAAATATTGTGCAGAATATCATTTGAATATGAGCTAAAAATGTCTTCCCTGTAAAAAGACTGACTTATGGCACATACAGTCTGTAAAAACAAAAGAAAATGTAATTGGAGATTATGAAAGTAATTTATGAAAATTATGAATTTTTTTTGGACAAGCCGTGATAGAAAATCTGAACATTAGCTTTGAAGCCAAAGAATAAGAAGATAATCCAGAAAGCAATGAGAGAACATTTCATTTGTTTTAATTAGTTTCCATTTCAAAATGGAATGAAAGTGGTTGAGGAGAAGACATTTTCAGGATATAAATACATGTAATTACAAAGTTCCACCATATGATCTCATGTGTCTAAAAGGTTTTTCTCTCTGGACAATAGAAGCTAATTTCACATATAGCATGAACAATTATTTTACTATTGTATTCTGAACATCAATGCATAAGTCTCATTTATTTTACTATATTACTAATTGAGATACCTAAAGGAAGAATTAAAACCAGAAGAATGGATTTAGCCTTTTGCTGGCAGGAATGACATCCTGATAATTAACTAAACATGTTATCATTTAGACGTGACCTAGATATGTGTTATCTTATGTAGTCATTTTCTTTTAACTCATTCTAAAGTTCTTTTACAATCTGAAGCCATCTGAATTTCTGTGAGAAAAGAAACTGACAACTTAACAGCCAATCTAAGCAAGACAATAAATAGATGTTATACTTAACTTGCACATTTTTTTCAAATAAAAACATCAGTTGCTGGGGAAAATGTGATAATTTTGAGCTCTCGGCAGGCACTGAGGGGGAATTTAACTCCATCCTCATTGGCTAATGAAAATCACATCTTAAGGCATACCTTCAAAGTTGCTATTTATGTCAGGAAGAAATACTCCACTGGCAGAAATTGGTTTTCTCTTTACAAAATAGGAACTCAGAAGAAAGGTGTTTTTTTTTTTAATTAGGAACACTTCAGAGAAATAAATTATCAAGTTCTCCAGCCAGCTTCCTCCAAGTTCTCATAAATTATCCTGTTTTTTTCCATGACTACTAAGTGTAAAATCCAAATATAAGTTTGAAGCTATGACTACTTGGGCCCTCAAAAGTGCAGAAATGTCATTAGGATCAGACATAATAGTCTGATTTGTGTGTAATAAATATCCAATTAGCTATCGGATTCAAAGCTCAAGGTGACATGGTTCCTTCTTTTCTTTGACCTTCTGATTAGTGGAATTCATACTTCAGCTTTCCCTACACATCAGGAAAGTTTGGTCTGTTTTTGTCCTCCAAACCAGAATAATAAACTTTTTATGAATTAGATTTTTATGAATTTAGATGTTGCTGATGATGCAAACAACCTCAGCTTTCATGGA